GTCTTTCATAAGACACCTGATGTCAAAGCACTACAAAGAACACTATCCTATGAGACAGGTTCCTCCTTGGCCTTATCAGTACATAATTCTATAGGAATTTATGAAACTAACAAATTTTTCACTTTTGCAGGAATGCAAAGCAGTCTTCTGGCCCTTGCCCTTGCAAACAGATTTTTCCAAGATCCACTTGTTGGAGTGCCTCCGGCCATCTCTGTGAGTCAATGTCTTGGCTTAAAAACCTTTGTTTTTTTCTTTTCACTAATTCATTATTGGCTAAGATGACTTGGAACTCTTCTACAGTTTGGAGAGATCATTGTTTCAAATTTACATATTGCTTTGTTCCAAGCAATACGCACACATTTTGTCTTTCACCCTGCTAATGTCTTTCAATATGCACACATATTGACCCCAAAAAGATAAGGTTACTTTGTGTTTTGTTGCACCGGGTGTATTATTTACATGTTCACTGTTTTTAACTGTGATCTGCAGACTGTAATCATGTCTTTGATGGGCTTCTCTCTTGTTATGGTTTGGGCCAAAAGGAAAGAATAACTAGACAAAATAGATCTCAAATTCTTTGAAGTTGGCTCAGTGGTTCTTGATGGCTTGCATATTAATGAAGTGCACTCAAGCATGATTGAAGAGTATTTTTGTTTTTCTTTAGTGTTTTTTTAATAATTGTACACTTTTAATTTCTAGTGCTAAGATTTGTGTATCAACTCATTTTGTAATTTGTATATTATGCCTAAGGCAGTAATTATGGAAAATATTCATAAATTTTGCAATCATTTAAATTAAAGATTAACATCCCCATTGTTGTTTTTGTAGATCCTTTTCTTTTGTTTATGTGGAAGCTCATATAGGCGTATATACAACAACTTTATATATGAGAGAAAAAAAAAATTACAGATCTGAAGCGGATAACTGAGTCGAATCGGAGAGCGAGCGTGAATCTGAAGGTGTAGGCAGACGAATTAATTAACCGATTGACACAAGGGCGTATTAGCCTAATTGTATAAGGTTTTCTTTTTAATAAATAAAAAAAGTCGATAGAAACCTAATCTGAAGCGGAAACTAATACTGATTGAGTAATGAAATTGATTTCTTTTCCAAGAATAAACGAAAAATATGAAACTAACAATCCTAATCCTAGTCAGATTGATACATGGATCACCAATATATAAAAGGTAGAAGACCAAAAAGAGTAACATCACCTCAAAGTGAATAAAATATTTTCAACACATAGCTCTTCTCTCTTTCTGACCTAAACATGCAGGCTTTCAATCTCAACTCCAACGACCATGACTATAGTGTCGTTGTGATGGTAGAAAACAGAGGCTTCCCAGATGATCAATCCCTTGTGAAATTTCCTCAAGTCTCAATTGCTTGGAATGTCTTCAAGAGCTACCATGTTATTCAAGATGGTACCGGCACCACCACCCGATCGAGAAATCCGATCATAGACCCCGACACAACACCCAAATTTAATGCTCTACAATCGTTACCGTCACATGAAATTATATCCAATATGTTACATGAGATACACATCTCATTCCCATTAGACAGGCTACGCTGGAAACCGAGTCGTTTTGTGAAGGACATCGAGCCGTTGAACAGCGTTGACGACACGATCAACAACATACGACGGGCCATTGATGGGATGGTTAGTGCAGGACAACGTAAGAAGCTGGACGTGATTGTCACGGTTGACAAGCGGATTAAGATCTCACAGCAACAATATGATGCAATGGTTGCAAGGAGGGAGGTTAAACGTAT